CACCCAACGTCCTGCTTGCACTCAAAGCAAACAAAACCCATCCTCTGGCCCAGCAGCCTCCTTTCTTCCTACACCACAGGAAGCACTGAGCTTCCTGGGGCTCCCTGCAAAGTGCTGGCCTTCCTGGTGGAAAAACCCGACCCATGGAGGTTGCTCAAGAGCAGGATGGATGGCTCTGTGTGCAGTCTGATCTGGTGGGCTCGATCAGCTCATGGAAGGGGATGCAACTGGATGGGCTTTAAGGTCCCTTCCAACTCAAACTCAGGCCATTCTACGCTTCTAAGATCTTTAAGGTCTCTTCTAATCCAACTCAACCCAACCCAATTCAACCTCTTCATGGTTCTATGATCTTTAAGGTCTCTTCCAAACCAAACCAAGTCTTCCATGGTTCTATGATCTTCAAGATCCCTTCCAACCCAGCCCAACCCAAACCCAACCATTCCATGGCTCTACAATCTTTAAGGCCCCTTCCAATTCAACCCAACCCTTCAATGGTTCTATGATCTTCAAGGTCCCTTCCAATTCAACCCAACCCAACCCTTCCATGGTTCTATGATCTTCAAGGTCCCTTCCAACCCAACCCAATCATTCCATGGCTCTACAATCTTCAAGGTCCCTTCCAAGCCAACCCAACCCAACCCTTCCATGGTTCTATGATCTTCAAGGTCCCTTCCAACCCAACCCAATCATTCCATGGCTCTACAATCTTCAAAGTCCCTTCCAACCCAACCCTTCTATGGTTCTCTGATTCTGACTGTGGTTTGACTGGTTGTGGCACATCCTTCCCTCAGGAACCGTGAAGCTGGGACGCACAGATCACAGCTGGGTGAGCTGGAGGAGGAATCTGATGCTGGGTGAAGTCCATGGGTTCGTTTTGAGGCAGTGTGAAATCTGCCTCCACGATTAAACCTCACTACAAAGGATCACTATAAAAACAACCATCAGCAAGATATTCCCCAACTTTTGGCAAGCCATGGGAAGGAAGGGGGCTTGAGTTACTGTTTGAGGGTTTGTTTTGCAGTTTGGGGGGGAGAAGGGTGGCTGATGAATATTTTACGGTCATGAATAATTCAGCATGGAAGGCAGGACCAAAAAAAAAGTCTCATACCACTGGGAAAGTGTTGACAGGGCTGAAATTCTTCTGGGCTGCTTTTGTTCTGCGAGTACAAAGTAAGGAGCAGCTCTGTGTTTTTGGGAAGGTGGGGAAGTGCTGGGCTGTGCCTGCAGGAGAGCATCAGCTCCCACAGCAACTGGAGACCCTCTTCTCCTACAAGTCTACCCTTCGAAGAGCAGAGAGATGCTGTCCTCCCCATGGGGACACTGCGTCTGTCCCCACTTGCAGTGCACTCACCCCTGTGCTGTTCCCTGCACTACTTGGCCTTCTGCCTCCTTCCCAAGCAGGACAGCAGCTGAGCACAACAGCCACCATCTTTGCATGGGGGCACAGATTCTGGAATCACTCCATGCAGTGCTGTTTTCTCAGCCCCCATCCCACTGCCATCGTGGGATTGCCAAGCGTTGGGTCTTGGCAGCAGCACTGCCAGCCCTCAGCTCTCCACTCAGCCCACGTTTTGCTCATCCCTATCCACACTGGAAAGCAGAAATCGGTGCAGGAACTTTGCTGGAATATCACAGGGGCTGTTGGTGCGTGCCAGGTTGCCATGATAAAGATTGCTGCATCGTCGTGCCTGCAGGTTTTGGTCCCACTGAAATGCCTTATTCATGACTATCTTTGTGTAATTACATCTTCTTCCAAAAACAGAAGAAAAGGTACTTGGAGCACACTCAAATGATGCTTTTTGGCTGCACAGTGAAAGAAATGAACACTGTGTACTTTGGGGCACAACAAAGGATGGGAAAAAGGAGAAGAACATGTCCCACATTCCAAAGCAGCAACCCTTCTATTTTTTTTTCTTTCTTTCACTTTCCAAGACCAAAGAGAAGTGGAAATTTCAATCCAATGAAATACCATCTCGCCTTTCATAAAAACCAGCGCTCAGTTTCTCATGATTTCACATCAAAACCCACTGGGGCGCAGCGGCTCCTCGCTGCACACTGGGGATTTGGTGACGTGGCTCTGGGGGCCGTGGTCAGTGGGATGGTGGGATGGGTTGGGGTTGGTGATCCCAGAGGTCTTCTCCCACCTTAATCACCTCCGTGATTCCGTGATCCTATGGCCCCTGACACCTTGCTTCATGCTGAGCTCTTGCGGGGACCTTTTTCGAGGTGCAGAATGAGGTGAACTCCTTTTTCAGGAGCGGCAACGTTTTTCTAACGCTGCTACATCAACGGAAAATAGGGCTGGAGGGGTAGACGAACATCCTGAGATGGTTAAAAGGTTTGGAGAAGCAAGGACAGGAGCCCACGCTTCCCATTTGTGAGCTGAACTGACACCTGCACGGTGCACAGCTTTCCCCTGAGGTGCAGTGGGATGTGGATGCCCCAGCCCTGCAGGCATTCAAAGCCAGGCTGGATGTGGCTCTGGGCAGCCTGGGCTGCTGGTTGGTGACCTGCACACAGCAGGGGGTTGGAGCTGGATGAGCGCTGTGCTCCTTTGCAACCCAGGCCATTCTGTGGTTCTATGAAACCCCAGAGCTGTGAAGCTGTGGAACAAAGCCCCCTAAGGCTGGTTGCAGCAGGCAGCATCACCCCGGGTTGCTGGGCTCTCCCCCAGCCCTGCACGCTGCCATCCTCACGCTTTTCGGACACCATTGGGTTTGGGTTGACCCAGGGAACTCCAGCACACAAAGGAGAGCAAATTGCAGGCTGCTTTCCTCCCGCAGAGCAGCACCAGCCACGCCGGGTGCAGGTGGCTTTTAGCAGCTCAGCGTTTGCCAGCTGACCATTTTGATTTAAATTCCACTTTCCATCGCCTGCGTTTCAAGTTCGGAGCACGGGGTTTTTACAGCAGCAGTAATGAACCCTGAGTTCAACCAGCACATGGCCAGATCAAAAAAATTGCCAGAGCGGAATGCGCCCCGCAAACACAAAGCACGGCTTTTCATTCATTATTTTTTCCTTTACAGAGAGGTTTTACAAGCTGTTTATTTTCTGATACGGTGTTGGCAGACATGCGGTCGGAGGAGAATCAATATCAGCACAGTGGGATGTATTTTCCTAAACGGTTTATGGGAGGGGGGGGGGTCTTTGCTTTTTCAAAGGGGGATAATTGAATGTAGTACACACTGTACTTTTGATTTGTTTAACATGAAGCGTGAAATGGGCACCGCTGTGATTCCGTCAATCACTTTAACTATCCGGCAATTCATTTCGAAGCCAGGCCTCTTTGCAGGCATCGTCTGGTTCAAGGCATGGGGGGGGGGGGGGGAGGATTCGCTCGGCATCTTCACCCCTCCCAAGCCAGGCCACGCTGGGACCCACAGGGGACAAGTTGGGGGGCGCCCCAGGTGAGTTTTGGGGACGCAGGTGGTCCCTCTGCAAGGAGCTGCCATTGAGGGCTCCACAGCCAAACCAACTCCAGGTGGTGGTGGGAGGGCAGGGGAAGGGGGCTGGGGGGCAGGAGGGGGGCTGAGCTTTCGGGGAGGTGTCACAGAACGACCATAGGGGTGATCCCTGCTGCCAGCCCCAGCAATACGCCCGTCAACCTTCAGGTGATGGGAGAAGGAAACGCAAGGAGGACTCCCTCCCCTAACGCATTCCTTGAGAGCCTTCCAGTCCTTCCATCCAACTGTTCCCTTTCTTCCTTGCAACCCCAAACTCACAGTATCATAGGATCATAGGATCATAGAACGGCCTGGGTTGAAAAGGACCACAATAATCCAGTTCCAAACCCCTGCTGTGTGCAGGTCTCCAACCAGCAGCCCAGGCTGCCCACAGCCACATCCAGCCTGGCCTCAAATGCTTGTAGGGATGGGGCATCCACAACAAACCCACATCTGATCACAGCGTTGCACTGACATGCCTAAGAAACACCAGAAGCAACGCTCAATGTTTTGGCCTCTCAGGAGGCCAAAATCACACCTGGCTTCTAATCCCCACCTGAAGAACCAGCTCTCTTTTCAGACCAGGAGCATCTTCACCTCGAACCCCAAAGCAAAGATTTCCATCTCATCTCTGCACAACAGCACATTCCAACTGCTGTTCCTCTGCACGCCCTGCTGCCAACCATCCCTTCAGGACACTGCTTCTTTCTTTTCCCCCTTTTTAGCTTTTCTATGAAGTTATCATAGAATTGTTTGAGTTGGGAGGGACGTTTAATGGTCATCTAGTCCAACTCTGAGCTCACGCAGAGCGATGCCCATTGTGCAGTGCTGGAGACCAGGACAGAGCCAGGGTTGGGTAGGCACGTGGTTGGGAGGCTCCATCCATGTGGTTTTGAGGCTCCATCCATGTGCTTGGGAGGCTCCATCCATTTGGTTTTGAGGCTCCATTCATTTGGTTTTGAGGCTCCATCCATTTGGTTTTGAGGCTATATCCATTTGGTTTTGAGGCTCCATCCATTTGGTTTTGAGGCTCCATCCATTTGGTTTTGAGGCTCTATCCATGTGGTTTTGAGGCTCCATCCATGTGCTTGGGCAGGCATCCATCCAACCATCCCACAGGAACATCACCTCCATCTGCAGAGCAGCCCCACTGCTGAGGCCCCACACAACTCAGAGCATTTTGACACTGCTGCACCAACGCTCAGCTGCTTCCATGCCAGAGGGGGGGATTGGTCTCTCCATACAATATTCTGACCCAACAAACGTGGTGTTCCTCTACACGTAGAGGCAAAGCTACAAAACCACACGGGACAGACACTCTCCTCTACACAAACAATAACCTGTTGGCCACTGACTTGCATCCGGTCAGGCAGATCAGCCCAGAGAAGGCAAAAACATCAGCACTCACCTTTTTTGCAATGCAACACATCTGCTCGGCAGGGAGATAGTCGAAGGGGAAGATGAATCTCCAGTTGAAGTTGCCTTCTCCTCCCATCGACCTGTAGTGCACGTCCGTCTTCTGCTTGTTCTCCTCGTGGCCAACCAGCCAGCTGCAAAATGCAAACACAGGGCCTGATGTGGTGGGATCTCTGTCCCAGGAGGGGTCCCAGAACCACGGAGATGTGGCATTTGGGGACGTGGTGGAGTGGGCCGGGGTTGGACATGGAGGATCCTGGAGGTGTTTTCCACCCTTAGCTTCTAATCTGCATTGGTGAGAGCTCCTTTGCTCTTTGCAGCCACCCAACACGCTAACACCGGTCCTCTTGATGAAGGCAACACAATGAAGAAGCAAAGGCCCATTTTTTTCCTCTGTTTTCTATCAGCTTCTTGGGACTTTCTGGAGATCCCAAATGACCGAGAAGCCCCACAAAACCCTCATAGGAGTTGGACTCGATGATCCCTATGGGCCCATTCCAACCTGGGATATCCTATGATCGTATGGCCTCACCCTGCTTGCCAGAGTGCTCCCAACAGCCCAGTTCCACCCCCCCCTAGTCCTCAACTTATCCAGGGTCAAACGGAAAGCATTCCACCACCCAGCAGTGAGTTTTGCAAGTGTGAGGTTCTCATTCTGCCCTCCTTCCTCCTCCAAGAGTTTCCAGTCTTCAGCAATCAACAAAAATACAAAACAAGACAACACATCCACTCACGGGATTCTCCCACTGAGCTCAGCGCACTTCACAGAACCATTAAGGTTGGAAAACACCACTAAAATCATCTACTCCAACCACCCACCCACCCCTACTGTGCCCCTAAATGCCACATCTGCTCTTTACTTCACTTATAAGCTCTTGGTGGACCAAGGCCATCCCATTACTCGGGAAGACAATGTTTAAAGATGCTAAATGATATCAGACAAATCACTGTCGTGGGGGTTGGCTGAAAGAGGGCTCTGGAGGCTTCTACCCAACCTGCTCCAAGCAAGGCTGCTTTTGTCTCCCAACACCTTGAAACATCACAGGAAGATGAGTGAGAGCCTCCCACCTCCCACATAATCCTTCAGCTCCATCCACTTGGTGAAGAAAAGCCCTATTGGAGATTGGGCTGCGAAAGCAATACAAAAATATCCCCCACCTACGACAGCAACAACGGCTGAGATCTTTCCAGACTACCAAGAAACAACATCTTCACTTAGTTAAAATAAAGGGCAGGGGGCTTCTTGCACAACACCAAAGCACTTATTTCATTTCCCACCCTAACTGGAAAGCAACAACCTACATATCATCATAGAATCATAAAGGGTGGAAAGGACCTCTAAGATGAAGTCCAACCACTAACCCATGACCACCATGCCCAACCACACAGCCACAGCATCATTAGGGTTGGAGGGAACCTCCAGGATCACCAACCCACAGCCACCATGCCCAACCACACAGCCACAGCATCATTAGGGTTGGAGGGAACCTCCAGGATCACCAACCCACAGCCACCATGCCCAACCACACAGCCACAGCATCATTAGGGCTGGAGGGAACCTCCAGGATCACCAACCCACAGCCACCATGCCCAACCACACAGCCACAGCATCATTAGGGCTGGAGCAGACCTCCAGGATCACCAACCCCACAGCCACCATGCCCAACCACACAGCCACAGCATCATTAGGGTTGGAGTGAACCTCCAGGATCACCAACCCACAGCCACCATGCCCAACCACACAGCCACAGCATCATTAGGGCTGGAGCAGACCTCCAGGATCACCAACCCCACAGCCACCATGCCCAACCACACAGCCACAGCACCATTAGGGCTGGAGTGAACCTCCAGGATCACCAACCCACAGCCACCATGCCCAACCACACAGCCACAGCATCATTAGGGTTGGAGTGAACCTCCAGGATCACCAACCCACAGCCACCATGCCCAACCACACAGCCACAGCATCATTAGGGTTGGAGTGAACCTCCAGGATCACCAGCCCACAGCCACCATGCCCAACCACACAGCCACAGCATCATTAGGGTTGGAGCAGACCTCCAGGATCACCAACCCCACAGCCACCATGCCCAACCACACAGCCACAGCATCATTAGGGTTGGAGGGAACCTCCAGGATCACCAGCCCACAGCCACCATGCCCAACCACACAGCCACAGCATCATTAGGGTTGGAATGGACCTTCAGGATCACCAACCCACAGCCACCATGCCCAACCACACAGCTACAGCACCATTAGGGTTGGAATGGACCTCCAGGATCACCAACCCACAGCCACCATGCCCAACCATACAGCCACAGCATCATTAGGGTTGGAGCAGACCTCCAGGATCACCAACCCCACAGCCACCATGCCCAACCACACAGCCACAGCATCATTAGGGTTGGAGGGAACCTCCAGGATCACCAACCCACAGCCACCATGCCCAACCACACAGCCACAGCATCATTAGGGTTGGAGCAGACCTCCAGGATCACCAACCCACAGCCACCATGCCCAACCACACAGCCACAGCACCATTAGGGCTGGAGCAGACCTCCAGGATCACCAACCCACAGCCACCATGCCCAACCACACAGCCACAGCATCATTAGGGTTGGAATGGACCTTCAGGATCACCAACCCACAGCCACCATGCCCAACCACACAGCCACAGCACCATTAGGGTTGGAATGGACCTCCAGGATCACCAACCCACAGCCACCATGCCCAACCACACAGCCACAGCATCATTAGGGTTGGAGGGAACCTCCAGGATCACCAACCCCACAGCCACCATGCCCACTCAGACAACCACAGCATCATCAGGCTTCGAAAAGACTTCTGAGATCCCCCAGCCCAGACCCCAACCACCCCTCCATGCCCAACAGCCACGTCCCCAAGTGCTGCAGCTGAACACAGAGGCTGTACCCGATAAAGGGAACGCTGGGGAAAGACTTTAGGAAGCCAAGCAAGATCTTTTCACTCATTTACAGCACAGTAAGAGCAGATGGGTCAGCAGGGGTGAGGGATCCCACCAGGCACCGCTCTCGCCTTGCCATGACCCTCCCCAAGAGCTCCCAAGCCCCGAGGTGCACGGGGAGCGTGGCTGGAGCTGATAACAACACGCTTGATGTGAATTCCAGGTAAGCAGCTCGCATTCTGGGTTCACGAGAGGAAAATTAGGATTGTAAAAAAGGGATTTGCAGTCTGTTTCAAAATCCTACCTCTTCCTGTGCATAAATCCAAAGAATGCGCAAAATAAGTAAAGTCCCTTGGCTGGGGCTGCTCCGTTTTACACGAGATAAAACATAAATGGAGCCAGGCAGAGAAGGGAACGAGCCAAAGGAGTTCCTGCTGGTTGCCACATTTTTGTGTGTTTCAAGGTAAAAAAAAAAAAAGGGGGAATTCCAAAAAAACAAAATAAAACAGCTCTGCAATGAAGCAAGTATGTGGAACATCCCCAGGGCTGTCCCAGGAGGGGGATGGGCAGATCCGAGCCCTGACAGCAAGGCTGCTTCCCCAAATCTCACCCTTCCATGCACAACCATCGTGAGCATCCAACTGTTGGAGGAGCCCCTTCATCCCACGGGGCTGCACTGCACGGCTGTGTCAACCCCTCTGAAGCTGCCATATTGCCATGTGCCATATTTCAGCTTCGAGGCCAAGGTGCCCAGAAGACACAGCAGTGAGGAGGCTCACCCTTTGACGTAGATGTCACTCATCTTCTCCCCGGTGATGCTGAGGTCATCGAGGATGACATCCTTGGTGTTCCAGATGATGCAGCGCAAGTAGAACCTGGACGTGGGATTGAAATGAGACAGGTGGGAACCTCAATTTAAAGCCCTCCCAACGGGCTACTCAGCTGCTTAACCTGACATCTCCAAGTCCCCTCCTCTTCCATCACAAGGAGAAGGTGCAGGAGCCACCACCACACTGACAAAGAACAAGAAGCCAACGCTGCACCGATGGACCAAACCAACTGGGAATGGAAGACTGCTCACCTCTTGGCTTTGCGTGGTGTGATGTTGAAAGGGGGGCCAGGCTGACCCAAGGATTTTGGAAACAGGTCCACCCACATCTGTAGCTTTCCCTGGAAAGAAAAGAGGTGAAGCGCGGTGGGCCTCCTGGCTGGGTGAGCTTCAGTCCTCGGTAGGACGGAGCAGTGGGTGCAGGAAATACCACGTGCTCCCTGGTTTCCTCACTGAAACTACAGGTTCCCTACCAGAAAAGCATCATTGAGCCCTGCATGAGGATTATTTCAGTGACCCTTGGGCACGTATTAACGGCCTGAGCTGCATCAGAGGTCATTCTGGACTAGTGAAGCTGCGCTCTAGGTTAGCTCTCCAAGGCTGAAGATGTCTACAAAGAGCTGACTGAATGGAGGTGCGTGTAGGGAGCACAAGCAGCTCGCTGAACAGCTGCTCTATGGGTTTCTGGCCATCGGATGGAGGATGGGACGAGGGGGACAGGATCTCACTCTGCCTTCACACTGCCCTTCCAGGGAGGGAGCAGCACAAGCACAGACGAAACCTCAACAGAATTGAGACACGGAGGAAACACCCTCAACCAAAAGGTGGACAGCTGGATCATCTGGTTTGATGGTTTGGTCTCAGAAGTCTCCTCCAACCTTAACGATTCTCTGACTGTACAAGTGGGCACAGCAGGGATTGATGGCAGGCTTAGAGGTCTTTCCCAACCTTAACGATCTGTGATTGCACCAGTGGGCACACTAACTGGACTCGATCATCTTAGAGCTCGTTCACAACCTTAACGATGCTGTGAGCAGGCGTGGTGGCGAGATGGGTTGATGGTTGGACGTCCAACCTTCATGCTTCTGTCATTCAGTGATCCTTCGTCCCCAAGGTTGCCTCCAATGTGATAACAGCACGTGGCAGCTGTGAGCTGCAATGTGACCCAATGGCCAGCTGACAGCAGGCACCTCCTGCCTCTAATCATGAATTCCAGGGGGTGAATTAAGGTGGAAACACGTTAGAGCAGTTGCCGGGGCATTTATGGCTGCTGGCAGCTTCCCTCTCCCATGCTGGACTGGTTAAAAATGAACCAAAAGAGGCGGTTCTGCAGAACTGGCTGCATCAACCAGTAAGAGATGAGGACAAATGGCTTTGCTCCCTTGAAGCATTTTTTGATCCAAATGCAAAAAGTGCACGTGCATGTTAGTGAAAGGGGCTAGGCTATGGACAGATACCTGACTTGTGACTGATTTTGGACAGAAGCCCACATGGCTTTTGTCTGGCTAAAAACAGCCACTCTGCAATGGCACTGAGACGTTACACCTCCGGCGCCTCCTTCCCACTGCACTGCCAAAGGAGCCTGCAGGATCCTTACCATTTTAGAGCAACTTCACGCTGCCCCAGCACTGGGTTAAGAAGCAGAGGATGCTCCCAGCCACGTCCCAGCCCACAGCACTGCTTACCTGCTCGATCTCTGGCTGCAGGGGGCTGTAGAGGGGCCGGGTCTCCACGTGCTCTGGCACCAGCCCTTGTTTCCGCAGTGCGTGCAGGGCCAGCCGCTCCTCTGCTGGCCCCAGGTGAGGGTTGTGGGGTTTGTCATCCTCTGCCAAATGCAAAGCAAGAGCAGTGTTATGAGCAAGCAGCACTATCCCTCTCTTGCAAACACTGCAAGGACCGCGTTGAAGCAGAAAGATCTGGGGTTTGGTTCTGCTTGCGGTGCCTCCAAGGGTTCAACCAGCCCAGAATCACAGCAGCTGGGGTTACACCACGGCCCCCACAGCCATAACCCCACGTACCCACCCCACCTCCATCCCTCTGTTTCCTTTCCTCCTTGCAACTCCCAGTCCAACCCACATTCCTGCCATCACCAGCAGACGTTGTCCAGTGCGTGCTTGAAGCCCTCAAGAGACAGGGAAGGCTCAGCTGCCTTCCTACAGCCGGGTAGGTTGGCTATCAGGAGGGATTTCTGCATGGATAGGGCACAGAGGCACCGTGCCCAGGGGGGTGGGAGAGCCCCCATCCCTGCAGGACGGGAGGATGTGGCACTTAAAGATGTGGTGCAGTGCAGATGTGCGGTGTGGGGTGATGGTTGGACTAAATGGATGGATGGATGGGTGGGTGGATGGATGGAGGGATGGATGGATGGAGGGATGGATGGATGGATGGATGGATGGATGGATGGATGGATGGATGGATGGATGGATGGATGGATGGAGGGAGGGATGGATGGATGGATGGATGGATGGATGGATGGATGGATGGAGGGATGGAGGGATGGAGGGATGGAGGGATGGAGGGATGGAGGGATGGATGGAGGGATGGAGGGATGGAGGGATGGAGGGATGGAGGGATGGATGGAGGGATGGAGGGATGGAGGGATGGAGGGATGGAGGGATGGGTGGATGGGTGGATGGGTGGATGGGTGGATGGGTGGGTGGGTGGATGGGTGGATGGGTGGATGGGTGGATGGGTGGATGGATGGATGGGTGGATGGAGGGATGGAGGGATGGATGGATGGGTGGATGGGTGGATGGGTGGAGGGATGGAGGGATGGAGGGATGGAGGGATGGGTGGATGGATGGAGGGATGGAGGGATGGAGGGATGGATGGGTGGATGGGTGGATGGGTGGAGGGATGGGTGGATGGGTGGAGGGATGGAGGGATGGAGGGATGGAGGGATGGAGGGATGGAGGGATGGAGGGATGGATGGGTGGATGGGTGGATGGGTGGATGGAGGGATGGAGGGATGGAGGGATGGAGGGATGGAGGGATGGAGGGATGGAGGGATGGAGGGATGGAGGGATGGAGGGATGGATGGGAGGATGGGAGGATGGGAGGATGGGAGGATGGATGGGTGGATGGGTGGATGGGTGGGTGGATGGATGGATGGGAGGATGGGTGGGACCCTTCCCAACTCCACAGCTCTACAATCTAAAAGCAGCCAAGATCCGTGGCTGGGTGATGAGATGAGCTCCATGCAACGTCCTGCTCTGCTGGGTTTGAGGTGACACTCAGAAGGGAGAGGACGGTGGGTCCTGGTCCCCACGGCCATGCTGGGACAGCTGTAGGACCTCACCAGGACGGCTGCTCACAGCCACAGCACTTCAGGGCCGTGCACCTTTGAGGACCTTTGAAATGAAATGCGTTCCATAAATACTGCTGCAGCTCTGCAACCTTCAGGTGATGTATCCCAGCTCCTTTCTTGGCAAGATCTTGAAGTGGTTAACTTCAGACAGATGGGCCGTTTCCCGAGCAGTGGAAACCTGGTATGTGTGTGTGTATGTGTGTGTGTGTGCATATGCAGGAAAAGAAAAAGCCCCTCTCAGAAAACAACAAATGTGGGGGTTATGGAATAACGGTTCGGCTGCAGGGCTTGTAAAATCCATGCTCTCGTGTTTAATAGCCTCACTTTATACCACCAGGTTCAGATCTGACACCGCTCCACACACACAGCTGGTTTCCAGATCTCCTCGAGGTCAAGCATCAGACTTTGTTCTGTTTTTTTTGAACTGATTGCCATTAAAGCAGAGGAAGGTGAAAGGCAGGGGCTGGGAGAGGGGGGAAGACCCAGCTCGCT